ACACACACACACACACACACACACACACACACACACACACACACAAACGCATAACCCCGCGCACGCGTGTGACAAACACGGACTTTACACGTGAAGGTTTATAATATTCACACTGGCGAGGTGGATGCGCCCTGCGCGTGTATCCAAAGCTTTTGCTGTCCTGCTGTTCTTATCAGGGAGGGGTCTGTGGGTCAGGGTTGTCTGAGGAGGAAGCAGAAGCAGATGAATGGAGTTGCACACGGGAACTTTTGTTTAAGATTTAAGTTTTTTTTTTCAAAGGTCCTCATGGCTCAGCAGCAGAAGCATAAAAATTACTGTTAAGAAAGCTGATGATAAAGTTGAATAAAAATCTAAGTCTGATTCTGAAGGTAAATTAAATATCTGACAGTGATCATTACAAAGTGTGGCTCTAATTCCTCACTTCACCATCTGTGCCGCAGTTTCCCGTCTCCAAAATGAGCGTACGCATGGGTCAAAGCTGGCGTGAAGCACCGCACATTTTCACGTCAAGTTTGGATTTTATAAATCACAACCTTGGCGTAAAAAGTGGCGTACGCAAGTTTCTGGGCTCAAATTGTGCATACGCCAGTTTTGTAAATCCGACCCCTGTTCAATTTGTGTAAATAAATGATTGCATAGTCTTTTAGGAATCAACTTGAACTCGTCTGAATGTTCACTTATTGTGTCACTTTTCACTTCGCACAGTCAAGATATTAACAATTAATGAGAAATACCTTGGTAAAAGTTTCCTCATAACCTTGTGTATGAGAGATGTGGGAAAAGCTTAATGCCACCTTAAGCTCACTCCTACACAGACATTGACAAAATATTCACGCACACTTGGGACTGGCTTGTTTTACACTTATAACTTTCGGTTGGAGGTTAATGCAACAACTGTGACACTATGATTAAAGTTTAGGAGGTTTTTCAAAAGGAGCCATTTAAGACACTCCAAAGCCACTGTGAATGTTGGTGAAATGATTCTCATTTAACGCCAGACCTAGAATGGTTTTCTGTACAATAGGAAGGAAATTAAATGTTTTGAGGGATTTTGACAGCACGACGGCTCAGTGGTTAGTACTGATGCCTCACAGCAAGAAGGTCCTGGGTTTGATCCCTACTTCAGACCTTTGGTCTTTCTGTGTGGAGTTTGCATGTTCTCTTTTTGCTTGCATAAGTTTTGTCTCGGTACTCTGGTTTCCCCCACAGACTAAAAACTTGCACGATAGCTTGCCATCAGGCCCAGACCTTCCTTGCAAAAGAGATTTCTGATCTCAGTGGGATTTTTCTGGTTAAATAAACAATAATAAACAATAATAATAGTAATGATAATAATAATAATAATAATAATAATAAATAAATTATGGCATGGTTTCATTTACATTAAAGAATTGCATTTTAGTGATTACTGAAAGAATGCCTTGATTTTTGTGTCTTTAAGACTAAGTACACAAAGGGAAAGTTTAAAGGGTTGAAGAATGGTAAAAGTTTTATTTTTCTAGCCTGCATTTCCGCCCCATGTCCAGCCCTCTGTATTCATTCAAAATCCTTGTTCGACGTTGAATTATCTCAAAAAGCAGGAAGTCAGGTTCTAAAACCTACTTTAATATTAACCCAAGCACACAACCAAGTGTTTAGATGTGAGTCAGTGAAGAGGACAAGCGTCCTTTCAAACCAGGAAGGTAAGAGATATTCCTCTCTGATACTGCGTGTTTTTGAACGCACCGCTGGCCTTCTCCATAGACAGCCACCAATGCGTACGGTTTCTTCGTTCTCGTTCTACATGGCCCTGCTTTGAACTAACTGTTAGAATAATTGTAATCTGTTTCTTATCATCTCCAGGACTGTTTGATCCTTATAAGTCGCTGTGAGGGGAAGAAAATGAAATAACACATGTCTTAGTGTTGACTGAGGCCACACTGCAGTTCATTTTGCTTGTTAAAGAGGTGGGAGTTTTAGAGGTGACAGAAGACTTTGTTGAGTGGAGGATAAACTTTTGCTTATCAGACACGAGAATGCTTTTGTGCACCCGCTCTGCACTATGCGTGTACTTGCTTTTCATGCTCATATGTAGGTGAAGCTGAAGGCTCGTGTGGCATTCCTTTGATTTGAGAATGAAGTTGAAAACAGTTCAGGAACAGTTCACATGACACACTTCAGAGACATCAGTGTTTTGTTGCTCCACATGCGTCAAGCCATTCTAGCAGATTATCTTCTCTCCTAGTTTGTATTTTGTAGATGTGGACCATTGAGCATTCATGTTTATTTACATGCCAAACCCTTTGTTGTCCACTTTAGACCAGTAATTTGCCTATTTGCAGTAGCATATTGGTACTTTTAATTGTGTGGATCAGTACATTGTGGTTTCAGCTGACTTATGATCCGTACCTCCCTGAAGTAGAAACACTTGCAGACATGTCTGCAAACACCATGTTATGACAAACCATTTGTTGCAATGACATATTTATTCTGTGTTGCTTTTAAATCATGAAAAAAAATCACGAAAATATGAAATCTGTTAGACCAGACTGACAGAAAAATATTAACATAAACAGCGATTGGAAAATTTACACTCGTTTAACATTTGTTAATAAAAATCCTCACTTTTTACAGATATCTACTAAAATAATAAAGCCACAGTAAGCGATGATATTCCCTACAATAAACTTTTCTGTAGCTGTTTGACAATTCTGTGATTAGTCTTTTCCATGTACTTGACAACTTAAGGGAGGCAAAATCAGTTTTACAGATTTAGCAGTTAATGATTCTTTAGTTTGTTAAAGTTTTGTGTAAAATAAAAAAAGGTATATACCGGTAGGTTATAATTTTAAAAAGACCTCTGTTGCACTATTTTATATCCTCTGCTTATTGTTTTAGTAAATATTATCTATCAAAACAACATTTGTTTGCCTTTCAGTTATTCTAATCTAAATTTATGTGTAAGCGATTCATTTTTCATTTAAAATGGATTTTGTTTATTGAATAAAATTTAGAACAGAAAATCTTAAAATCTTAAATATTTGCTGCAGATTATTGATCCACTGTCAGTTTTAACTGTTCTACTTTGGTGAACAACGGCTAGTTATCTAAACCAAATAAAAAATGTACCTTTTCTACATGTTTTGTTTCTCTCAATTTTTTTCTAGAAAAAAAAAAAAACATTAACCACTCATCAGCCAAAGATTTTCACACTCTGGCCATGCAATTTTCATCATAGAAAAAAAATTTCATTTTCAGTGGCTCATTGAAATAAACACTTATGACATAAATGTACACAATGTACATTGATGTCATTTTAAAAAGACTCCAGTGCAGTAACTTGCATACATATTCTTTTCTTCCTGCATGAAAAAAGTTGTATTYTTATCTCAGGTTATAGTGACAAACATGTGTGTTTTSCTGGAATATCTGCAGTCATAATTTGTAGCAGAATTACATAAATATATACTGCAGTAAAGACAAAATAATGCTCTCACAGTTTCAGACAGCCCCCATTGAGACCCTGAGCTGCTGAACACAGAGCAACACAGTGCTTGTCCAGATGCTATGCGGCACAATGACCTTGCTGTTGCCTTTTTTGTCTCAGCATGGTGTTTAGCATATTTGTGGATGACGTAATTTTTTGACTGTGGAGAAGGTTGGAGAGGATATGTTGAATTACTTTGAGCTCTCCTGGCTGCCAGAATACTCACTCAGCATCTCTGCCCTGCTGTAACTCAGTCTCTTACTTGACGGTGCCAGCAGAGGGAGAAGAAGGATATATGTAACTTCAACTGCAGTATCCTCAATGACATCATTCCATACTGAAGTCCTCATCATTTCTTTTTGCTGTTTGAACAACTTAAGATTTTGTACTTTGTTTAAAATGTGCATGTGCATTTTTGTGACAGTTAAGAACCATCCATCCATTATCTTCCACTTAACCAGTTCTTTATAATTTCATAAATAATTTATATGTCCTTGTCACATCTAAAACTATGTTATGATTCACTTAGTGAAGAAGTGATAAATGAACAAACTTGTAGTTGAATAAGTTTGGCTTCCCTGAGGCGTATTGTTATGTTCATATTTGAACTGTTTTTGACATTTCCTGTAGAGTTGCAACTGCATTTGCTTGGAGGGTTCAAACTTCCCCCTGTTCAGATCCTGGGACAGGTACCATATCTGTGACAGCTTTGACATAGACTTCTAGTTTTCTCTCGTGTCTTTCTCATCTCTTTAACCTACTTAAGCTCATCCAGACAGGGCGTGTCGTAATGACAGAGAAAAGAAAAAGGTCTGATCAAAGTGATTGGTCCTTCACTCCGGTCTCAAAGATGAAAGATGGTATTTTTATTGCACGCTAGTAACAGTGTAACACTGAACTAATTGGTCTTGATCTGCCAATCACCCCAGGGGATGCAAATGGATACTCTTCCACTTTGGCTTTATGAAGCCTCTATGCTAGTGTGTCAAGCTGGAAGGAAAACAGAGTAGAATAGATAAATTAGCCCTAAATGAACTGGCCTTGTGGTTTTCCTGGAGAATCCCTTGCCGTCTTATCCAGCCCATTCAACCTGTTGTGGCATGTGCTAGACAGCTCCTGACACAAGAGATTGTTTTTACTTTGAATTCACATTGTTGAGATTTGAAACAGTGTTGTGTATTGAGGAGTTTTATTTGTTTTGATGGGATTGCCATATAAATATAAAGAAAATATCAAATTGTGACAAGACCAAAGAATAGAGGTAAATATTTTGTATTTTCAGTAAAGTAGTTTTATTTTTAAGATCTACGTTTTGAAGGCATAAAAAATCCAGCTCTAATCATGTCCTAAAAAAAACCTCAAACAAACACTTGTTTTGTGCTCCACTCTGAATCATGTTTTTAACAAAACCTGCAGTATTATGTGATATAAGTGGCCTCAAATGACCACTTTTACCAACAATAAATTGAAATATTCATCTTTGGTTCTGGTTATAAACACCAGTAAAGGACATGAATGGGTAGAAGTCTTCTTGAACACTCTCCCATGGTTGCAGAGAAATGTGGCTCATTTTACTTTAAAATGTTGCTTCAGCTCTTTGAAAGACTTGTGCATAAATAGATGCCTACAAACTTCAAAGTCATGGCTTTAAGTAGACCACAGTAACATCCCGATTATTTTCTTTTTTCAGTCATTTTGTTGTAAATTTGTTTGTGTGCTTGAGATTGTAGTCCTGCTGCATTACCCAGTTTCAGTCAAGCTTCAGCTGTTAGACAGATGGTCTCACGGTATATACAGAAGTTAATGATCTAGTCGGCGACTTCAAGGTTCCCAGGTCCTGTTGCTGCAAAACAAGCTTGGATCACAAGAGCCTCCACCTATGTCCCTACCATTTAGTTAGGACGCAGTTATTTGTACTGTTTGGTTTCCACCCACGCTGATGCAGTACGATATGATCAAAGATCCCCACTTTATTTTCATCTTTACAAAGAGCCTGGTTCTGAAATACTTGAGGTTTTGTCAGACTTTATAAACCAGCGTTTTGGAGAGAGAGGAGGCTTACTTCTGGCTACCCTTCCATTAACCATACTTATTAAAATATGACAAAGTTATTAAAAAATACATAACATTACATGCTGCCTGGAGTTTGTGAAGTCGAGGTGTAGCTCCTGGCCTTTTTTTTCTTCAATCAATCTGACCATTGGCCAGTCTGACCTCAGGGTAAATTTGCTTGAACATCCACTCCTGGAAAGACCTTTTTATAGTGGTGTTCACACTCACTGATGTCCATTTAATGAAGTGCTTTTGATTAGCAGCACCTGGCTGCTTGCTTGTCCTTTTAATGCCAGTGGAAGCAGTAGGGTAGTAATATTTTTTTTTCGCGTGCTGCTTGTGCATTTTAGCTTATGACACAGTGTGCCACACACTCAGATAAACTTTCGATTGAATATCGTTTAGCATGTTTGTTAAAATCAAAAAGACTTGAATAAATTTAAGTTTCAGGTAGTCACAATTTTTGGAATTTTTATTTATTGTTGACAAATTTTCCCTAATTTGTATTTCCTCAGGGTCATCTATATACACCTACATCCGAGGAGGCTTTACTCACCAGCTCAACAAAGAATTGGAAAACGTTAGAAATCAGAGGAATAAACTGGGTAAGAGTTTGTGTTTTATGACTGATTGATTTTAGTGTAAGACCTTGAATTGCTACAATAATGCATGACAAAGAAGCGAGCCTTTTTACATATTGCTGACAGGCAGCTGCTCCCTCTTCATCTGCCTTAATTTCTTAATTTGGACTTGGATCCTAACTGCCTGATAATTTTCCATCCATTTTAGGATATTATAAATGAAGCCTGAGCCTTTTGGGGACAGGGGTGGGGGAGGGGAGCACAAAGGCACTTAGGATATTGGACAAGATGCAAACTTTATATTGTAGCAAGCCTTTTAGTGATGTCATTAATTTAGAAGGATGGTGCATATAAAGTGCACTTGGCAAACTTCTCGTGTATCCAGACTGAATGCACTTTGAGGATACGGGGGACTAACAGGGTTGAAAATAAAGAAAGACAGTCAATATGGCAGAGACAACAGGGCAGTCACATACACATCGTAAGAGAGCTGTGTATGTTTAGAAGACATAGTTCATGTGGTTTACAAGCTGTCAGCCGCGTGTAAAAACATGACTGATCAGCTGTTGAAATACGAGGTAGATACAGTATAAAATTGAAATGTTTCATCTGGCTTGGAAGAAAGTCACATTAGTTGCCCACCACAGATTAAAACCAAAATATAAATCACAGAATTAATTTTGTTGCATTTCTTTTTATCTAGGATTTATTAGTTTCCACTAATTAAGAAAATGAGTGGAGCTGATTAAAGAGGAAGAGCACAATTTTTAAAGGCTGGGAAATGGGTATTACCTGGAGGTAGTGTGGTTATGATAAGAAATGAAATATGTTGGGTGCACACACTCAAGTTGTTTTACCAAACCAAGGAGTACAAATCCCATAAATAAAGTCAGAGGTTGTGTGGTTTAAGTAGTTGAACATAATAAGTCACTGGTGGAAACTGGTTTGTAATGGGAAAAGTTGAAATCATTGTGGAAACGTGTTATTAAAAAGTTTTGATATGGACATTTCTGAAGAAGCATAACTTTATATTTTGATTTCTCTCAGAGAGAAGAAAGAAAGCATCAGGATGGGAGAAGAACTTGTTGTATCCCATTGTAATGCTGATTCTGCTCGCGGGAACGGTGAGTTCTCAGACTTGGATTGTTTTCTCACTGCAAATTTCAGTCTGGCTAATGGGTGCCGGAACAAACACCAGCGTCTCAAAACATGATTTCATTTTTTGTTTTTTTTGTTTTTTCTTCACCCCTGAGTCTGGGTGGGGAAACTACTTTTGTTTAATGGCTGTTTAAGACGGTGCTGGATAGCTACCTGTAACAATAAATTATAGTGTGAACGTGCTATTTATGTCATCTTATACTGTTGGATAAGGCAGAGAAAACATGGGAGGCACAGCACATGCATCCACCAACAGCCTCACATCGTTCAAGTCTCTAAAAAACTTTTTGTTGGAGCAAACAGGAAACAGTTTGTGCAGGTAAATGATATAAGATCTGAACTCTGCAACATTACATGTGGGGTTCCTCAGGGTTCTGGACTTGGACCAAAATTATTTCTTTTGTATTTGAATGATTTAGTAAATGTGTCTGGGCTTCTTAAATGTGTATTATTTGCAGATAATACTACATTTTTCTGTTTAGGAAAAGATAGAATGAATGATGGGGATGATGCAAACAGAATTTGTTAAAATACAAACTTGGTTTAAACTAAATAAATTATCGTTAAATTTGAATAAAACTAATTATATGATATTCAGTAATAGAAACAGAGCTATTGATTTTCCTTTTCAAGTTGATGATGTTGAAATCAGTAGAGTCAATGAGATGAAGTTTTTGGGTGTTATTATTGATGAAAAGCTGACATGGAAATCCGACATAAATCACTTAAGAACAAAAGTAGCCAAATCCATTGCAGTATTGTATAAAGTAAGGAACTTACTTAATGACAAAGCTTTGTTTATGTTGTATAATGCAATAATTTTTCCACATTTGATTTACTGTGTTGCGGTCTGGGGGAAAGCACGTAAAACAATTACAAATCCCATTTTTATTTGACAGAAAAGAGCCGTAAGAATTATCACCAGAAAAAATTACAGTCACCCATCAAATACATTATTTTCTCAGTTCAAATTATTGAAATTTTATGAGTTGGTTGATTATAATATTTTGCAGGTTATGTATAAAGCTCAGAAAAATTTATTACCTCTAAATATTAAATAAAATTTTCTTAAGAGAGTAAGTGCCCAAAATTCAAACAAATCTGAAGGACAGATGTACTTTGGTCCAAGGAATAAGATTGTGGACCAATCTGGAAAGTGATTATAAAAATGCTGGCTCAATAATTTTATTTAAGAGAATGATGAAAGTTAGATTGTTGAGGAGATATGAATTTGAATAGTGTGCATTTATAAGAACCGTTGTTCGAGAAGGAGTTGAAGTTTTTATGTTTTGTTTGAAGACTATTGTTTCAATTTATTTATTTAAAAAAAGGGGCAGATATCAATAAGATTTTTTTTTCTTCTTTCTGCTACCTTTCATTTTATTTGTGTTGTATTATTATTTGTTGTACGCATTTGTTTTTTTAATGAAATTAATAAATTTGTTTTAAAAAATCTTTGCGATCACAAAATAATTATGCTTTATCATACCTCCAAACCAGGGAGGCACCTGCAGTTAAAATATATTATGATTGCAGATTCTTTGCGTATTTGATCAATCTTTTTGTAATTATACAATGTGACAACAAATCTATATCTTCCTCTTTGTCTGCAGACAATCTCTGTGATAATGGTGGCACTGAATATCCTATACCTTCTAGTGGATGAGACAGCTATGCCAAAGGGATCCACAGTAAGCCTCCTATCTAACTGCAGTACATTTTAACCTTCTTTCTCTTACAACAACACTCATCCAGAATGTATCAGACCTGCCATGTCCTTGGCGGAGACATAAATCAAATTCCGGATATGCTCAGGTGCGCGTTAGAAGAAAGGAGCTCTACAGATGTTAATCGGGCTCAAACCATGTGCTACTGGTTTTGTTTTGGAAATCCTTTCAGAGTCATTTCACAGCAGTGTGCAGACTCATTGAACTTGCTACGTGTCACATGTCCACTGTGATTGAAAAGGCCCTAAGTGAAAGGTTCTCACTGTGAAAGGAGACAGAGTGTGGGATGGTTTTTAGAGATTTTCATCTTTGCCTTACATGCAACCTGTTTTAAGCTCTGTGTATCTCAAACACCGACAGGAGTGCATACATGTGTGCACTTGCGTGTGTGCATTTGTGCATGTGCATTTGTGATTGCATTCTTGTCTGGAAGAGCAACATTATGTATCCTATTTCTCTCACATTAAATTTTACGTCTTGCGGGCAACTTTCAGAGCTGCCCTCAACTTTCCAATTATTTTATCGAGAAGATGTTTTCTTTGACATGACACGTCACAGAAAAACCCCAAATTACACTTGTCTTGCAGTTTAAAGATGTCCTCTCTGATAGGGTAGCCCCACTAAATGGTTTATACATTTTTTTAGAGCTGGATGGATGCCACACCTCTGATCTGATCTCACAAAGAGAGGAGGAGGAAGGGAGTGTACGTGGGGGGTTTAGTTCTCTTAAACAATCAATACTGATATGAAATCCATCCTTCTTTAACCTACACTTTATCTTTTTCTGCCCCTCTGGCACAAAAGTTCTTTTTGTCTCCCGCAGTCAAGGACAGTGCAGAGGAAGAGATATGAAAAAGAATTGAGATGATCTGGTTTGACGTCATCTGGACATGCCACTACCACTAGTGCACRGATACTCAGACTGTGGGAAAGTCAAATGAGGCTCAGATACGCTAATTGTTATAGGAAAAGAGCCCTTGTCAACGTTTGCTTTCCTTTCCAACTAAGCGTCCTGCTGCAGTCTTTAACTTACTGATCAGTGTCACCCTCAGCTTTACAGAACAGGAGGATAAGGCAATGGCAGGAAAAAGAAGTCATCACAGCTTCTGTTAAAGGATGCAGGATTTTACAGCTTTATGAAGAAGCACTGAAGGGCACTAATAAAATTGTTATTGCTGGCTCTTTGTTTTCGTTGCCATCCCACTTGACATTGCATTTTGTAAAATGTACAATAACCTGTGGGTTACTAGCAGTTTCCAGCCCTTTTGAGACCTTTTAGTAAAACAAAAGATTTTGTCTTCTCCATTTTAAGTTTTATTTTATAGTTTTATGTCATTTACCAAAAAATGTTCATAACCCTAAAAAAAACTTCTGTGGTTCAAAATGTTACTTTAAAAGCCTTTTCCTCAAATGTTTAAAGCGTTGCCGTGTTCATGCCTGATATTTGAAGCTGGTGTTTCAGTGGAATGCAATAAAGCTTAATGTGAAGTTTTAGAGTATGTGTGCTGTGGTGCATTACAGGCTGCAGTCAAACCATGGCAGCTGAGTAGCCGTGAATACAGGAAAACTTAACTTTTTTTTTTCAGGAATTATTTCAGCACCAGTTTCTCTGTATATAGTTAGCAGAGATGTGCTTAAGTTATGTAGGATCACAAAAATACAGTATTTTTTACCTCTTTTTTCATTGTTCATATTTTATAACATGTAAAGGTATATACAACAGAAATGCCAAGACCATTACGTTTCCCACAAATAATAAAATGATAGATAAATTTCACCATTCATTGATTTTGAAGCAGCCAACATAGCTTGTTTATTTTGTAAAGTCTTTCAAAAACTCATCACTCTTCCTGCTTTATATTGTAAAGAATTATTGACAGGAAGTGTGTAGTGTACATTKTATACGGTACATGTAGCATACATGCATTTTAGGTTGCACACGCGACCTTAACGCATGCTTACCATTCTGCATTTATAAATCATCTAGTGTCTGCTAAATTCTTTGTGTAAGAGTAAGATCACTGCAGCATGGGTTTGCAGGAAGATCCCAAAGATGACAGTTGCATTACAAGGCATGAAACAACATGGTAGGCCTTATTTTTTTTCCCCCTGCAGGCTCTTTTTTTTTTTTTAGGAAAAAAGATTAGGCTAGGTGAGCTCAAGTTGGGGACAGACTAYAATAACAGATGTTAATAATTAAAAAAGAGGACTTGAATTCAAAAGGGTTTAAAGCACTGTATTTTGATGCATTTTTATAGGAAAGTCAATTAGAATAGTGTTGCATTTTGGTACAAAAACTAAAAATAATGCTATATTCACAATAATATATTAATAAAGAATACTGTTATATTTGTTAAACAGCAGATTTGAAGCATGCTGCATAATGTTTGTCTCTGTATTTTTCTGAATAAAAACAACTAAATGACTGGACTTGCTTGATTAATTTCAAGCAACTTGTTTTTGCGAAGATTTGTAGGTGTTCCATACAATTTCCAAAATCTTTTAGATTCGTCCTGGTGCCGAGTTCAACAAAAGCAAATATAAATCATTTGACAAAACAGTTGCTTATTTAGATGAATGCCATTCCCCCCCTGCTTTAGTTTCAAAAGACTGCAGCAGGAAAAGAGGTGGGAGTTGAGAATGGGTGGGCGGGAGGGTTATGTCGGGTGTATTTGCTTAAGAATTTGTTTTGTTGTTTTTATGTTTTTGGCATGCTTTCAGTCTGTCCATTCTTCTTACCGTAAGCAATGTGCTGTTTTTGTTTGAACACCTGTTCACATATTGTATGATCGACAGCGATTTGCAAAAAAGCCTTTTTCATCTTCTTTCATTCATCATTTAACCAGTTTGATTCAGTTTTTTACATGTAGGAAAAAATCTTTGAGCAACATATACCTACTTTGCAAGATTCTTTTAAATGAATATGTCCAGCTGCACACATCTTTTTATTTTCTATTTTAGTTTTATCTAAGTTGAGTTTTTATTGTAATTTGTGCAGTCAAAGCAAATGATTCATTTATATATATWTWTTTTTTTCTCCCATCTTCCAGGACCGCAGCATTGGAAACACCTCCCTTTCCACCTTCGGTGTGGCTCAGGCAGCACTAGAGATCATCCTCATGTTGTATCCTTTAACTGACCTTCCTTTTGTCTGTGATCAGAGTAGCATGCTCCATGACCAAAAGCAACATTACCAAGGCAGCTTTGTTTACTCAGGACATAGTTCAGCCGAACACCTTCCGGAAAACACGTTGTCTTGTTTCATCACCTTTTATAATACCTGAAAAGGTGCAGCCTAAGGATACATTAAAAGTCTCTGAAGCTTTTTCCAGCAAAGTGTTTTTGATCCTTGATTGATTTGCTGAACAGCTACTTGATGGCGTCTTCCGTTGTTGGCTTCTACAGCCTGCGTGTCTTCGAAGGACTAACTCCCAGAAAGGATGACACGACCATGACAACGGTAAGGTGGGGTGTAAGGACAGAGAGTGGGCTGAAGTGGGGRCAAACATAGCTGAAATTGCTCCAGGGGTGGTGATGTGCTAGGATCCCCCGAGTTTCTTCTATTTCCTTTTATTTTTCAACTCTCTTCCTTTCTCCTGCGGCTCTCTAAAGTTTTCTTAAAGGCCTCTCAATGGCCTTAGTTGATCTGTCCAATATTTGTTTGTGGGTTGCGTAAACACTGACAAAGTGCAATCTCCTTTCTTATACATCAGAGGGAGAAGAGTTTTTTTTTTTTTTGAGAGGGTGGGTGGTGGAGGGGATTGGAGGATGTGTGCTCTGTTCAGCCTATAGTGTGGCGCTTATTCACTTGGTAATGAGTCTGGGAGTGGTACAGCTTGTTGGCTAGCAGCAAAGTTTCAGTGAAAGGGCTTGAAAGGACAATGGAGGAAACCTGGTAATGAGCAACTTCAGAGGTACTAATTGTGTAATGTGTGGAACTAATTTAACATCAAGTGGTGTGTATGCGTGTGGGCACATCATGACTGTCAGCTTTTTTATTTCTTTTTCACTTTTTTGTAACCACCTCCTATATAGCTGTATATTATGAAAGATCTGAAATGGAGTGATTTGGTCTTATTTTTAGATCATTGGTTGCTGTGTGTCTATCCTGGTCCTGAGTTCAGCTCTGCCAGTAATGTCCAGAACTCTTGGTAAGTATTATTCTGTGTGCCTAACATGACTTATCTATCTAGTCCATTTTCTCAATCTAAAAAAAGTCATTTCAGTTTGACTCCCAAGAATTCATGCTCAAAAAGGACTTAAAATCACTATTTTTTTAGTTAGCTGTGACTTTTAGCCCCTAAAAGACCCTAAGCTTTAAAAAAATTTTCATTCAAAGTTAGATTTAGATTGAGCAAAATTTTCTGAGATATTTAACAATCCATAAAGACAGCACTTCAAATAATAAATCCAAGTACTGGATATTTATTCCTCTCCATTTGAGGCCATCCAAGTTTAATTTTCCCATAYTTCCTGTAGTGGCAATTGAACAAAGTGCCGTTAAAAAAAAAAGGTAAAGATGACAGGATTGGCACCATCATAATGGCACTAATAAACATGCAGAGTGCAGAGCCCAGCTGTTTAAATAGCACTATTTTGTGTGTATGAGGGTATGAGTCAAGCAGGAGAATGAGAAGGAGCAAACATAACAGTGAGTCACTGGGAGCTTTACAAAATATCAACAGGTTCGGATTCATGACACTGAATGATTGAAAGGAATGGATGCATGGGAAAGAGTTGAAGGAAAAAAAGGCTTCCCAGTAAATGAAAAAAAAAAGGATCTGAGTGTGACAAAGTGAGATGTTTAATGAATAAGAGAGGGTGATGTGTGTTTATATGAAGTGTTTTGTGTGTCTCAGAAGAAGAAACATGAACTGTATTACTGATTAGGGAAGCATACCACAAGTTGTGCCCAATGTAAGAGCTGTACAAAAATAGAAATTTGCTTACAAAACTTTGGTAAATCTCTAACCGTCTTGACGGTCAGAGCTTGATTTTCTTTTAGAACTATCATTACCAGAATATATTTGACTGAATTATGGGTAAATAAAAATATACTTCATTCATAATAAAATAATTACAGCAAAACATTTGTATATTTTCTCCAAAATGACTCACTCGCAATCTGAAAATTAAAAATCCACTAGATTATCTAGTGATATTTTTATAAGTATCCCTCCTATGTAAGACAGAATATCGGTCATTTTTTGTACTTTTTAAACACATTTCAGTACATATATTTTACTTCAAGTTTGTTTCACTCAGTAAAAAATTGGCCACACAATGATATGTGCATTAGTGGATGTGCTGTGTAAGGTTGGGCAAAATCGTATTGTGTACAATTAATCGTCAGTAAAACTGACAACAATTAATATTTTCCACTTTGCAATTACTGCAGTTAGTGCCATGTAATGATGTTTTTCTGAGTACGACACACTCACTAATGTGAGCGTGTGAGATCAGTGGTGGAAGGCAGCTTGGAGCAGATAATGCTAACCCTACGAACTTGTTTAATCACCTGAAACATTGCCATAAATCAGAGTATGACAAAAGCCAGAAAATGCAGACCAAGGCCACAATGTTGGCTGCATGCAAGTTCAATTGTCATCCAACAGTCGTCATATTAATTGGTATTGGCTAAATGCCATAATTGTGATAAATTTTTATGTCAATATTGCCCAACCTTAGTGCTATGGTGTCTTTACTGACTCAGGGGAAAAAATTAATTTTTGATGACTGGATTGGCTGGTCACCAACCAATAGTTCATTCCGTTTTAATGTCTACAAAGCATTAACAAATACAGTATCTGTTACTTCAGATACATGTTATATTCGTTGGAATCAGATAGAGAATCTTTGCAGAAAGACAGTTAATTAATCAAATAAAGAAATCACCATGTTTTTTATTATAAATAACACTTCCATGATCCTGACGAAACAGACGTATGCCTTTTGGATGAATGATGAGCAGCATGCTAATGTCTGTGGCTCTGCATTGTAAATACACTCTTGACATTTCAAAGGCCTGCTTTATTTATTATTTATTTATCTTTACATCTAATTAGATTTTTCAAAATTGCCAAACCAAGATCAAAACCTTTGGTATTAGAAACAAATTTGGCCCGACCACAGTGCCTGGCTGCGTTGACTGAGGTCTCAGTCATTTTTCTCCCTGCCTCTTCACAGGCAATTTTGTTAAAGGTCCGTGATGCTTGCCAAACTGCTTACTGCGGCTGCAAATACATCTCCCCCAGACACTGGATCGATAGCTCAATCTAATTGACGGCAAACATTGTGAAGATGTTACAGCAGAAATAGTGTCCAGAGACCAGGGCTTCTTCAGTCTGACACATCTGAATATGACATCTGCAGTCAGATTATAGGAAGGCTTAGATAGGAAACTGTTATCGTGAATAGATTTAAAACACTGACACTAAGTTTCACAATCAATCTCAATGCATCAAAACAATATCAAATTAAACTGCTTCATATAATATAGTTTAATCATCTCTACAGATGGATTAAACTTTAATGAACTGGACTCATCACTTTATTTGATGGTACACTTACCCTGTATTAGAGCACAGGAACACGAGGATTAAACATAAATAGGCATTCAACTCATGATGTGTTCACATAATAATGTGTTTATGGCATTCCAGGCAACATGAGATCAGCTGAAACAGATGATTTGAAATCGGTTTGGTACTGTGGAACTGACGAGGACCAAACTGCTCTTAAATTTTGTATAGAGAGGTTAAGCTCACCTGCATAGCATCTTTGGATAATGTTTATTGTGCAAAGTTTTATCATTTCCATTACAYTAAAACAGGGCTTTAGAAATTATTTGTATAAATATTCTATTGTATGTGTTAGCAGTGTCAAACTAATACTAACACTTAAAACGGATTCACAGAAAAATATTGGATGTTGTTTTAGTGCTTAAATCTACTTAAAGTACAGCTACCTCAGCTACACAGAAACACAAGTGCTGATTTACTGTTTAACTTAAAATTATTTCTGTTCAAAATATGTCTAGAGATACTACCTAATAATATACACAAAAAATGAACTGATTATTTTTGCCATTGAAGCCTTTCTTTCAGATTAAATATTTCTTGAATTAGGCAGCTGAAGAAAAAAATACACACATGGACAAAATTGTTAGTACACCTCATTTAATGAAAAAAACCCCACAATGGTCACAGAAAGAACTAGAATATGACAAAAGTAATAATAAGAAAAAAAATGAAAATGAACAAATATAAGTCAGAGTTTATTTGAAATTACATTTCATGTCTTCTGACTGACATTTGAATGCATTGGTGTAACTTCATGTGTGTTCCARTTGTCCAGTGCAGCAGCCTTGTGAGCCTTAAACATTGTTTTTTTTTTAAATAAAACTCATAAAACAGGCATGGACAGAAATTATTGTACCCCTGAAAATAATCCTTGTAAAACAAGGCGTGTTCACTAATGTGCATCACAGGTGTCTACAATCTTGTAATCAGTCAGTGGTCCTGTATATAGGGCTACAGATACTCACTTTGCTGTTTGGGGACATGGCGTGGACCACTCTCAACATGGACCAGAGGAAGAGAAGGAAAGAGTTGCCTCAGGAGATTAGAAAAGAAATTATAGACAAGAATGTTAAAGGTAAWGGTTATAAGACCATCTCCAAGCAGCTTGATGTTCCTGTGACTACAGTTGCACATATTATTCAGAAATTTAAGATCCATGGGACTGTAGCCAACCTCCCCGGATATGGCYGCAGGAGGAAAATTGATGACAAATCAAAGAGACGGCTAATACGAATGATAACAAAAGAGCTCAGAAARACGTGTAAAGAGATTAATGGTGCAGTTCAAGCTCAGGGAACATCAGTGTCAAATCTTACCATCTGTCGTGTTTCAGCCAAAGTGGACTYAATGGGAGACGACCAAGGAGGACGACCATTGTTGAAAACAAATCATAAAAGAAGCCAAACTGGAATTTGCCAAACTACATGTTGACAAGCCACAAAGCTTCGGCGAGAATGTCCTCTGGACAGATGAGATAAAAATGGAACTTTTTGACAAAGCACATCAGCTCTATGTTCACGGAGGGAAAAATGAAGCATATCAAGAAAAGAACACTGTCCCTACTGTGAAACATGGAGGAGCCTCCGTTATGTTCTGGGCCTGCTTTGTTGCATCTGGCACAGGGGGTCTTGAATCTGTGCAGGGTACAAAGAAATCTCATGACCATCAAAGGTTTCTAGAGAGAAATGTGCTGCCCAGTGTCAGAAAGCTTGGTCTCAGTCGCAGCTCATGGGCCTTGCAACAGGACAGCTAAAAACACTCAAAAATGGCTAAATAGAAAACATTTGACCATTCTGAAGTGGCCTTCTATGAGCCCTGACCTAAATCCCATTGAGCATCTTTGGAAGGAGCTGAAACATGCTGTCTGGAAAAAGCACCCTTCAAACCTGAGACAACTGGAGCAGTTCGCTCATGAGGAGTGGGACAGAATACCTGCTGAGAGGTACAGAAGTCTCAATGGCAGCTACAGAATCACCTCAAAAGGTGCAAAGAAATATTAAGTTAAGAGTAGCATCATTTCTGTCCAGGCCTGTTTCATGAGTTTTATTTATTTATTTTTTATTCTGTTGAAGCATGGTTGAAGCAAAGTCTGACTTGTATTTGCTAGTTTTTATAGAATTTTTATTTATTATTACTTTCGTCAGATTCTATTTATTTCTGTGACCATTGCGGGTTTTTCTTTACTCATGTGGACAAAATTGTTGGTACCCCTCGTTTAATGAATTGACGTCTGCATGAGTGTATCATGCATTAGACATGACACACTTTTGATGAATGTTGTGATGATTTCCTGCCTCCTTATTGGTTGTGTCTTTGTTCTTTGCAGGTATCACCAGGTTTGATCTTTTGGGAGACTTTGGGAGATTTAACTGGCTGGGAAACTTTTACATTGTCCTTTCATACAACTTGCTTTTTGCCATTGTGACAACTCTTTGTCTYGTGAGAAAATTTACCTCAGCAGTGCGGGAAGAGCTCCTAAAAGCCCTAGGTAAACTTTTCTCTGGTGTTATTCTCTGTTAAAGATGTTTCTAATAAACACCTTTCAGTTTTGGTAATAGTCCTAGAGACTTTCTAAATGTTGGACAAGTAGTACAGATTTGGAAATTTTCAGTTTCTGTCTAATTTTGTTTACACAAAGGTTTAACTTAAGACTGACAACTCCAAGCTGCTCTGTGGCTTTGGAAAGAGTTATCCTTTATTACTCTCAGATAGTGAGACGTTAGGTGACAAAATAGGGGGAAAAATGCATTAGGATTCATGGTGCTGCAGAAATGTGACTCAGGACCGAGCTGGTCTTAAAGACTTGGTGTGACAGGCTCTAAATGTTTGATACAGAGTGGGATAGGGTTAGAAGACGTCRGGCAGAGGCACTGAAGGGAGAAAAGGACATAAATACCTCTGTTCAAATGAAAGTCTGAAGCTTTTTAATGAGATTTTTTTTTTTGCCTTATCTCCCACTGCCCAGGTCTGGATAAATTGCAACTGTCAAACAGCCCCATAGACCCTGAATCTGGGAAGCTTTCGGCCAACGGGCATCAGAAAACTCTGTAAAAAGGACAATGAATCCAGACGCGTACACGTTAGCAGAGCCAAAGGGAGATTTCGACAGTACTGCCTGACTGCTGAAAGRTGAAAAGGATAGGAAGGAACTTAATAAATCCAGCCGTGTCTGTCTGTTGCTGCAAATGGAGGCTGAGAGCAATTTAGTTTGTGACATTCCATCCTCTGCGTCTCGAATGGAAGCTGGGGCAGAGCCAGGGCTGAGACCGAGGAGTGAAATAGACTGGCATCACTGCAGTGACCTTGATGCTAAACTCAACCACGACTGTGACTTCAAACTACCCATCCTTTGCTTCAGGGGCATTCCAACCCCCGTCATTGTCACCTGCTTTTCTTCCCCAGTCTTTATTGCACTTGACAGTCTTGAATTAGGCTCTATACTCAGTCATTTAAAACACAACCCACCAAATTGATTTAAATTATCTTTTAATGTTTTTTTTTCCTTTTTCTTTATGCCTGTGAAAGTAACTTAAAATTAATATTCTGTAATTGTTTTCTGACTATTAAGTGAAGTGATGCAGGCATTATGAGGTGTCTGTTTGCCATTTTGCAATGAGAAAATAACAAAAATGTGCTTTGTGAAGCATGGGAATTTGTCTTTTCTTCACGCATTTTACAGCCAGTGAAGACAGATCCACAATATCATTGCAGTTTACATCATATGCACTGTTACTGTCAATCTGAATGACAGGCCTCAGATTTCAGCGCTCCTGCTGTCATTTGTCCTTTTATCCAGCTTTATGCAAGTGCGCTTTAACTTTGTTGATGATGTCATTAGTTTGTATGAAGAAGGATATTTATTTTTAGAAGCTCTAAATTTGACTTAGGCTACCTTACAATGGAAAACTGGAGATTTTAATTCCTTAGTGCATTAGATTGGAATTTTAAGTTTTAGCTTCACACTTCTGCTTATTCCACACCGGCACAGAGATTTGTCTTTTTGTAAATGTATTTACTTGTACATAACGTTGTTTCATACTTTATTATTTTCTTGTTACTTTGATGTAAATATTGGGCTGTCGTTGATGCTCACCGAGGRACTGACTCACTATTTATTGGTACATATTTTTTTATATGAACCTCTAAATCAAATTCTATCACGTTGAACATTTTGTGTGCTTTATCCTCAGCCTTAAAGTGAAGAAATGTGGATGGGTGGCTTTGGTGTATTCCAAAAAAAAAAGTTAATGGAGATTTTGGGATACACACAGAGTTACTGATAAGGTGTGTGAGCGGGAGAAATGGTAAATAAATCCGAGGCATGTGTAAAAAAAGCACAGGTTTATTAGGCAATATTAGTATTTAACACTTTGTTTCACACCATCAATAGGCCAGTCATTGTGATGACCTCAATCATTTCTAAAAGCAGAACAAAAATGCTAAACTAATAACGGCACCAACACAACTGAACATGACTTGCACTCATTCGTACACGTATAAAAACAGTCCCCAAGAGGCAACAACATGTTATGTGAAACTGTGGAGCGCTGCTACAAGTTGGATGCAGAAGCACGTTCAAACCCCCAGAACCTTTTCCACACACTGAATAAGAGAATAGTCAGCTTTGTAGCTGAGAGACGACGTGGTGACTCAGGCCCCTTTTACATGTTGTTGTATTGCTGCGTTCTAGACTGTGACTTTGATTCCTTTTTGTTTCACAGCCACCTTTGATGCCTTATGCAATGAGCATCTCGTAGGTTTAATGTTAGAATTGTTGTSTGTATAGTTTTCACTGTGATCCTGTCTTGATTGTTTTTTTAAGACAGCTGGATGGCACTATTCTTTTAATTAACGTGATTGAAGCAGCTCCATTTCCAGACATTTCTGAAAGTACTTGTGCACCTGCTAGCATTGATTTGAGTATATGTTTGTTGCCCGCCCCCCTTTTAATAGCTCTAATTTTTTTTCGTATTAGTGAAAGATACCAACATTTATGTGTTTTATAGCAAAATTGTTTGCAGTTTAAGGTTTTAYTACAAGACTAGTTTTAAAAATGTATCAAACAAGCTCATAAAATTAAATGCAAGGTAACATTTCTGACTGAAACCTTCCATGTCATCAACACGTCAGCTTAAATTATATTCCATCAGTTTTTTGAATAGTTTTCTTTTTCTTTAGTTTGTGTTTGATTGGCTTTAGGGTCACTGAGCTTCTGATACTGTGAAATAAAACATGAAATAAAGCTAAATGGGAACCACCCTGTCCCTTTACTGAGGGGGGCAGTTGAGTATGTCAGAGCTTCAAAAAGATTAGATTTTTTTTTTAAGTATGGATAAATTTTACTAAACTAGGCACTGCTAATTGTAGTAGTCATGGATTCTGAATTTTAGCTGGGAAGATATYGGCTCAGACATGTTTTTCTGGTTGAAGTTGCAGATCTTTGTTGTGTGAATGAGAGAAGTGAAGGTTCAAAAAGGTTTAATTGTTCTGAGCTGTACGAATAGCTTTTTATTTCTGTTTATATCTCTGCATGTATTTTTGATACATGTTTTGTGAATTAATGTTTTTTACATTTTCTCAGTTTGTTGAATGTTTTTTCTTGTTATTTTGATGTTTGCTTGGGAATAAAAAAAATGCTTCAACAGTTTTTCGTTACTGAGGTATTTTGTGCTGGAAGAGATGTCACAAGCGCAAAGGAAAGTGGAGATTTCTCTGGTGCTCATTGCATTCTTAAAGCATACAGCTTTTTTAAATGTTCACCCATACCCCATCAGCTCTTTTACTACTGCTAAACAAGACAAACTATGACAAAAAAAGCCTTTAAACAAGCTGCACAAAAAYGATACGGCGTTCGAATTTATGCATTGCAGTTGTAGTCGGAACCAAATTATGATTGACTTTGCATGATTATGTCATTGTGCTCGTGAGCCAAACATTAACCAATTCAACGATGAATGACATGCTGAAGAAAAGAATCGACCCATTTCTAAGATTATTTTCTGCCGCATATTTGTAGTGGGGTTGCAGAGGCAACATGTCCAGGAGGGAAATCCAGGCATCTGTTAATCTATCAACACATTCAAGCTCATCCTTGGGGACCCTGAGGCGTTCCCACGCTGACGAGGATACAATCCTTCTAGTGAGTCTTGGGTCTTCCCTGGGGCCTCGTATCAGTAGGACATGCCCGGAAGCGTCCAGGAGGCATCCTAATCAAATGCCCGAACCACCTCAGCTGACTTCTTTCAATGCGAAGTAGCAGCTCTAATCCAAGCTCAAATCTCTAAGTCCGAGCCCACCACCCTAAGAAGGAAGCTTATTTTGGCCACTTGTATCCAGGATCTTGTTCATTTGGTCATGATCCACACCTCATGACCATAGGTGAGGGTTGGAACGCAGACAGACCAATAGATCAAGAGCTTTTCCTTTCGACTCAGCTCTTTCTTCAMCATGACCGACCGAAGCAACGCTCTCATTACTTAGGACAAAGCCCCAATCCCTCGACTCATCTCCTCCATCACTCGTGAACAAGATACCCAAATACTTAACCATGACTTTGTGTCTTGATGTCTTAAGATTTTTGAGCATAAATAGGTGGTAGGAGCAGCTAGCAGTAGCAATCTGGTTGCAGCCTGGGGCAATTTTTGAGACATATTTAAAACATCTCTGCTGAAATAACTGTTGTATAAAATGAAACGCAGTTTGAAGGTCTCTTAAAATGGTGTTCTCAAGAACCGATGCAAACAGTTTAAGGCTAAATTTGCTTTAAGACAGCAGTAATCAACTGTAGTCTTGGACTCTCTTGGAGTAGCTCTTCAGTTCAGAYAAAAAGTTATTTCTTCAAACTATGATTATTCAACAAGTTACCTTAAAGTAAGATATTGTTAATGCTTCTTTCAAAGAAGCGTACTCCAAAAGATCTGAACCATCTCTTTAACAGACTTCTGATTTCGAGGCAATAATATATGCCCACATCTTAGGGGCAATATCATGTAAAATCAATATTTTGAGTTTTATATCATGTTATAATGTTATACTCTCATAAAAAAACATACCCAAAGCCTTGCTTTGACTCATTCATGCATGTTTGAGAAATCCTGCAGCGTTTTTAGGCAGCCATGCTGAGGAGCAAAACGACAGGTGGGCACCAGAAACGCCTTTTGGGACCAGAAACGCCCCTGGGACGTGTCTTTAAGCCGAACTTCTTCATGCCAGAGCGCCCCCGCACCACTCCCCACACACCCAGCCCATGACTCCTGCAGACTCTTGGGTGAAACTGAAACTGTCTTCTGAGCTCCTAACACTAGTTCTCACTAGCTCTTTTCTCATAAGCTCTTTTCAGATTAAAAATACCTTTGAGGAAATGTATTTTCAGATGCCAAGTGAACTGCATCATAGCAGCCCCCCACCCCCTC